AAATATTCTATTATAAGTAAAATGTTGAATTACACCCAAGCTACAGTATGTTGAACAATAGATATGCAGTACAAACTCATAAATGTAATTATTAAAATGGCTTTTATTGATTGACTGCATTACAAAAGAAATTTCTAATTATTTACATAATTTTCTCATTTTATGTATTTTAAACCAAAATAATTATATTTGTATTTACTAAATATCAATTCTATTGTAATACTTTTATAACATAAATATTTATTAGAAGACTACATTAACATAATGTTAATCAATATATTTTGTAATATTATAATAAAATATTTTGTTATACTGTACAGCGTTTTTAAATAATTATACAAATGCACTTTCAGTTTTTATATAATATTTAACATTAAATATTTTTTACATAATATGAAGTTTATGTTAAGTTCATAATTTCTATATACTATTTAACATTTATTGCTTGATGATGTCTGTATTAAAATAACCGTATAATTCATAACAAATGTAAACACCTATGAATAAAAAATAGAAATACATAGAAATAGTATTATTTAAAAGTAATGTTAATTAGTTATTATACCGCAATAAGTGTTGATTTATTGAATTTTGCAAATCCTCCTATAGTTATACCAAATGTTTGATTATTTTGCAGAATATTCTTAAAAATATTCCACTCTTTGTATTCATTATCAGACAATACATGATTACTTGTGTCAACCATACCATCCAATACCTCATTAAGTTTATGGACTTTTGTCTCAATTAAACCACAAAAATAACAGCACATAATAAACTGATAGACACTAATAATACATGCAAAATATAGTATTTGAGTGAAATTCTTAAAATAAGTTATTTGATCAATATTGGCCATGGTATAAATTGTCACCATTATAGCAAATATAGACAGTATAGTAATCCAGGCAAACGTAACACACCATTGACCGTCAATATATGCCACCAATTGTTGAATTTTTACAAATAGTTTTCTTGAATTTCGTAATTTCATTGATAAGTTTCCTATTTTCTGAACTAAATTAAAATTAAACATATTTTTATAAACTATAATATTTTTAAATAAGTTACTTTTATTATAGAAATATTACCTGAACAGTTATTGTATTCCTTAGCAATACCACCTAGTAATTCTGACAAATATAAAGATATTACCGCGACAATATAAGTCATTGTCCAAAGCCACATAAATGAATAGTTAAAATAAATGGACCCTATTGATGTCCAAGTTAATGAGGTTGCAATTTGATTCATAACCATTACAACCCATATGGCAATTGGAAATACAATGCCTGTTATTATAAGTATAAGTTGGTTCCTGGTACATTTCAAACTGCTTATATTTTTGAGTTTCAATAATTTATAAAATATTGGAAACGATCTAAAATTCATGCAATAAAGTAAAATACCAGACACTAAGCCTTGTATTGAATTTAACATTAAATGAATGATTTGCCAGTTGTATGAAACATTTGATGACATAATTACTCTCGTATTGAAAGCGGTGCCAAAAGTGAAAATAAATATGACATTTATAATCGCAACACAATATCCGAAATATCTCCAGAATTTACTGCATTTTATTGTCCACTCATTCGCTGTGTTTTCTAACACAAGTCCACCAAATGTTAAGCCATATACGCGGTAGAAATAAATCAATATTTTTATTACAAGACCTTTTGTTTTCAACATATTTAATATACAATATTTCAAACTTTATATTGCAAGGGAGTTTACAGAATAATAAATAAGTATGAAGTGTTTTCATAATACAATATGAATTTTAATTTATTAGAAATATAATTAATTAAGTTTTTTGATTGTTTGCATTAAAAGGACAAATATTATAATGTAAATATTAAACATTAATAAAATTAAATTAATTGATATTGTTACGTAAATGTCTTATTCGTAAACAAAAATATATTCAAACACTACCATGACTTATAATAAAATATAATCAATAAAATACTGGATTTAACATTAAATGCTTGAATTCATAGCTCTATAAATGTATACATTGTCCCGAGACTTGAAGTACTTGTATTTTATATACATAATTAGTTTTTTGAATTCATGGTTTGTGTCGGATTATAAGTAGTGGTCGATGTCTGTATAAGAATCACGGTATAACTCATTACAAACGTGAATACCTAAGAAAATAAATTATACAGTATAAACATTAGCTTGTTCAATCATTATTAATTATGATTCATTAATGAATACTAAACGGCAATAAATGTTGATTTATTGAATTTAGCGAAACCCCCGATAGTTATCCCAAATGCGTTCGTATCCTTTATAATACTCTTAAATAGCATCCATTCCTTGTACTCCTTATCAGACAATTCCCGGTCAACCATACCGTCCAATACATTATTAAGTGTTTGCACTTTTGTCTCAATTAAACCACAAAAATAGCAGCANTCCCAAATGCGTTCGTATCCTTTATAATACTCTTAAATAGCATCCATTCCTTGTACTCCTTATCAGACAATTCCCGGTCAACCATACCGTCCAATACATTATTAAGTGTTTGCACTTTTGTCTCAATTAAACCACAAAAATAGCAGCAAATAATAAACTGACAAATACTACAAATACACTGAAAGTAAAGCAAATGAGTGTATTCTTTAAAGAATGGCATATTATCGACATTTGCCAGGGTATAGATGGCTATCATTACGGCACAGATAGACAACATTGTATTCAATGCAAACACAACACACCATTGACTGTCAATATATGACACCATTTGTTGGATTCTTATGGCATATTATCGACATTTGCCAGGGTATAGATGGCTATCATTACGGCACAGATAGACAACATTGTATTCAATGCAAACACAACACACCATTGACTGTCAATATATGACACCATTTGTTGGATTCTTATGCATTGTATTCTGGATTTTCGTAATTTAACACATAATTTATTCATGGGGTTTACTGTAAATAAAATGTTAATTTAAAATGATATAGTTGTAAAGTTTGTTGTAACATACCTGAATTTTCAGTGAACAGATAGTCATCTAAATCATGTGCTATTAAGTCGAGTAAATCAGTCAAATACACGGACATCAATGAGACTATGACGGGTAGGATCCAGATCCAGGTGAACGTTATATTAACATAAATAATGCCAATTAATTTCCAGGCGAGACTAGTTTGCAAACTAAAATGCATGGTCACAAACCATGTAATGAGTAGATATACCATATCAGCAACAAATAAAATAATTAAGTTGCTAGTTATTTTTAAATTCTTTATGTTTGGCATATTAGACATTTTGATGAATATTGAATATGATGTAAAGTTTATGTAATATAGCAGAATACATATGCTAATACCATGTCCTAAATTGAGCAGGGCATGTATTATGCCAAAGGTGGGTATGTTCTCAGCTAGCATTACGTTGACATTAAATAAGGGAACATATATCAATAAAATCAAAATAATTATTATCGTTATTAAATATCCGTAATATTTCCAGAATTTACTGCATTTTATTGTCAATTCATTTGCAGTGTATCCCAACACAAGTCCACCAAATGTTATGCCATATATGCGGTAATAATAAATCATAAATTTAATAACAAATATTAGAAACTTTGATTTAAACATATTTTATTGAAAAAATTAAGATTAAATAATTAAGTATCGAGATAATTAATTTAATTTCATTTACGAAAGTCAAATATTGATATTAACATCTCAAAAAGAGACATTATAATATATTTCTATTTTGAAAACTATTGTAAACAGGTGATTTTAATAAGAATATTATAAAGTAGGTTTTTTATTAACATATATTATCTTATATTATATAAAGAAATAACATTTTCATAAATTTAACATAATCAATATTGAATGTTAATAGAGTAAATAGTCATAAAATATATTAGTTTTTATATAGTACAAATAAATTTAATAAATCAAAAAACAACATTATTTAATTAATTTAAATAAACAATTCTGTGTACAAACAGTATTGTGTTATAGAATAATGAAATTATAATACAATCTAGATTACATCTATCGATATAAATATAATAATAAAGAATTTAAGCTGAAATATAAAAAGGTATTTAGTTGCATGCTATGACAAAGTAGGTATACTCAAGAAATATATAAAATTAATTATAATTTTAAGTGTTTATTAATTATAGAAATTTAGGATTACTAATGACTGCACTAAAAGAACTTAATTAAAATAATATATAAATAATGGTTAAAATATTTTGTAAATCAATTTGATAAAGGTAAAATTGCATTACCAATTAGAATATTGCATAAGCTAGATAAAAAAGTACAAAAAGTATTATTGTTACATTATAAAAATATATAGCTAAAATACTTATAAAAGTGTGTTATCTCAAATTCATAGTGCATTTTGCACTAGAATTAGTTCTTTAGGATACAAAAAACAAGTATAAATAGAGCTTGGTAAAAATGTGGTTATTCACAGTTAATAAATAATACAATTTTAAATAATTTTATAATGAAGTTTATAATATTGTTAGCATTGTTTTCTATAGCATTGGCTTTAAATGCCAACGATTACCCAATCGATGACTACTTAGCGGTGAAAAACTCGCGTAACTTCACGGGGAAAGTGGTGTTAGTGACCGGAAGTAGTTCAGGCATAGGGGAGGGTATTGTCAAACTGTTTTCAGTATTGGGGGCTAAAGTGGTGGTCACCGGTAGGAAAGAGGCAGAAGTCCATAAAGTGGCTCAAGAGGTGCAACAGTTATCACCCGACAAACTGAAGGTATGAATGATTTATAAATAAATATTTTAATAATATTTATAATAATAATTAAATTATTTTTATAAAGCCTTTAGAAGTGACGGCAGATCTGACCAAAAGGGAAGACGTCGAGAGACTTATCAATGAAACCATCAAAATGTTTGGACAGTTGGATGTGTTGGTCAACAACGCGGGGATATACCCCACATCTGACATTCACGACAAGAATATCACCGATGAGTTTGATTTGGTGTTTAACATCGACTTAAGGGCTGTCGTGCAGACCATTCACACGGCTGTCCCATACCTCGAGAAGACTAACGGCACTATTATTGATA